ACCCAGTCAGCCCACCTACAGCCAGTCTCCCTGTTGTCTGGCTCATTCCCTCATCAACCAACACCCTTTTCCACCCCTCCCTGCAATTTTCTCTGCCGTCCCTGCTTTCTCAATCCGCAAACCAGTCACCAACCATCATTCCAGCCAACTCTACAACCATCAACCTTCCCACTTACACCTCGCCGCCGCGCCACCCCCCCCTCTTCCACCTTTCCCGTCATCGGATACAAACTTAAAAGGGAGAGAAGAACGCTCTAAGAAGAATTCTTAAACAAAACAAAAGCAGAAAATAACAATTTATAGACTCTCATATGGAGAAGAAAAATAAAGAAATAGGAAAGGAAATGCCCATACAAAAGCAAAGTGGTGGGGTTAATAATCCAGAAATTAGCCATTAGAGACTTCCCATACGGAGAAGAGCACATAAGGAAGGAAGTAGGAGGTGTGGCAGTCCTGCTATAAAGGGTGGTAAATTTAGTTTAAGACTGCACCTGAAAAATAATTTTGAATGAGATGACATTTAAAAGATTTTATATGCTCCAACTATTAGTTATTTAAGATATACTAAGGTTTACACAAGACTGAATGTTGACCTCTTTTTCAATGAGGTCTTAGTCGTCTACTCTTAGAACCTAGGATCTAGCTTTAAGATTTCCTTATTGACCATCATAGCGGACTAGTAATGGAGCCCACCTCCCATAGAACTTCGAACCACTTCTTGACCCATTTTTGTGAAGGACTCACATGAGTAGTCTCAAACACTCGACTCTTAGTTGCAAGGGCTAAGGACTAACATGTAGCGGACCCAAAAAATGAGTTTCTATATAAAGAGGAGTCAGTCGATAATTTTGCCCTTCCATTTTCTGTATTTGAGATTGGGTCCAATTCAATGTTCGTGCAACTGACCAGGACACGGGAAAAGAGGCGCAACAGGAAGATTCTAAGTGCCAAGAAGGCGAAAGCCGCAGAGTTGGCTATTACTGACACCGCCCTCCAACTGAATGAGACACGATTATGTGAGATCTCACCTCTTCTCATGGGGAGTAGGTTTCACCCGTTGCCTGCTACGAACGGAGAGGATGAAGTCTATAAGGTTGCTAACACATCACCACCACCATCTCTCCATAATGGTCCAAGGTCGATGATGACATTTGAAGGAAAATCTGAGGTAGTGGCAGTGGTGGACAAAGGAAAGAAACCAAGACAGATTCAGGTCGAGCAGCCTCGACAGATCTATCAGCATTTGCAACAGTACAACCAACAATATCTGCAGCAGTACGATCAATAGCATAACCAACAGTACAACCAGCAGCATAGTCAACAGTCATTCCAGCAGAGGCCATGCCAGATGGATGAAAGATAGGCCCCGCCTACGACCAAGCAGTTGAACAAAGTATACTCTTTCAAGAATGAAGCTATAGCAAAGATGTTCCAGGATTTGATTAAGAATCCCAAATTCAAATTATGAGAGCCAAAGAAGTCGGAGGAAGTCGACAAGAAAGATCATCCCAACTGCTGCCCCTACCACAGACTGCTCGGACACACTCTAGAGAACTGTATCGGCTTCAAATAATGGCTCGAGAAGAACTTTAAAAATGGGAACATAACGATCCCTAAAGAGTATTTGACCGAAACTGAAAGATGTTTCATTAATATGATTTTGATTGATCCAATTGTTTCAACTGACTTTTACACAACTACACCAGTGCTAAACAAAAGAGGCGAGACTCATAAAAAATCTCTGACTGACCTTAAAGTTATCAATGGAAGGTCGATCGAGGCTACATTGGAAAGGCTTCGAGCCGACATTGCATAATGTACATTCAATTCTTTTATAATAAATTATGATTTCGGGGGAAAATGAAATTAATGTCATAATAACTGGGTCCTTCACTTTAAAGAATTCGGACTGGGTACCAAGTAAATTTCAAAATAAAAAAGTGTCCTTGAAATGCAAGTAATTGACTAAGGACATCACGAGACTTTTAATCTTCTGCTAAGTGACTGGTTCTTCACTTTCGAACGAGTTTTAATATCCCAGGATTTGTCTTAAGAAGTATTTGAGAATTTTTAATAAGGGGAATTCAGACATTCAAAATCTTTAAAGTATGCTCTACTAGATATAGTAATTCTAAGAAAACAAAAGAAGCAAAAAAAAAGTGTGAAAATCTCCTGAGAAGAAGCTTGAGGTTGGCATAAAATAAAAAAATTAGGCTTAAAGGAAAATTTTATAAGATGGTGGTGTGACTTGAATGCTTTATGGTGCAGAATGTTGACCTATAGAAGAGAAACATAAAACTAAGTTAAGTGTTGCAGAGATGAGAATGCTTAGGTGATACCAGAGTTAATCCAAACCACATTAGTGAAAACAAATATTATTACTTGAAAGCAAATAAACGGTTAAAACTCGCACACTGAAAAGGGTATTACAACAAATATGACACAAAAACTTACACTAGGGCGGGTTTAAGTTTAGCGGTGGTGGTCGTTAGGGGTTTGAAAGTGTTTGTTGATGATTGAGATGGTTGTAAGGTGGGGTTATAAAAGAAAAGGGATTTTGGGTGGTTTTTTATAGGGTGGTAGCAAGTGTGGGATGGCTGGACAGCGATATGGTAGTGAGTGTGGGGTTGCTGTGGTGATGCCGAATGGCGGGATAAGAGTAGAATGCTAAAAAGAAGGATTGGCGGGTTGCGGGAACAAAGGTGAGTTCTAGGGACATCGAAAACAACGTAGTAAGTGGCTGGGACAACGAAGAGGAAAGGTGGTGGACTGTGGGATAACAAAGGGGAGGGCTGTCCAGGGACTGAGTCAGCGAGGGGGGATCGTTGGAAAGGATGCGGAGGAGTTTGGTAAAGATAAATATCCCTATGGAATCGAAATACAGTTGGAGCACCACTCGACCTTCGGGGAACAATCATCCGCTCAAACGAGTTATAACCGGAGCACCTTCTTGTCTTCAGATACGACCCTTAGAAGAGAAATCACCTTAGTGGCCACAATTTGAAGCTAGGAACAATCAAAATCAGAGTTTTAAACACACAAAACATATATTGAATTGAAGCCAGTAGATAGGAATATGTCACAGGAAATGAAAGGAAATAAAAAGAAAATGTAGTATAATAGGAGAATGCTAGGATAGGAAAGAGTGGTGGGTAAAGAAAGTAATACAAAAGGAAAGAGAAATCTAGGAAAATAAAGGTCTGCGTTACTGTAGCTACCACATTACTACCGTCATTAGATGGAAGATTGGCTTTTCACAATGCAAAATGAATGTATTTGTGAAAGGGTCCGTGTAGCTCTAGTGGCAGACAAGATTAGAGAGAGTCATCTTAGATGATTTGGTCATATTAAACGCAACCATGTGATGATCCGATTAGGAGAGTAGATGTTTTTGATTTGACTTATGTTAAGAAAGGTAGAGGTAGACCTAAAAAGTCTTAGGTTGTATAAAGGAAAATATGACACTCAATATGACACTATGGAGAAAAATTATTCATGTTATTGTTGTTAAAAATTTTTTTTCACTCATTTTACTCACATATAAATTATAATGCGGAGAACGAAAACTTACTGCCCTTTTTTATAATATGAACAAGCTATTTATTTTACTTGGCGACAACATTGAGTTGAAATATTTTTTCTTAGTTCAATTTAATTAGCTTTTTTTTCAAAATTTGTGAGTCTAGTGTGATTTTTATTTTTATTTTTATTTTTTTCTTTTTGTCTCATTGTTTTTGCTTATTGTATCCATGTTGATGACGCCAATTTTCTATTTTAGCGACATTTTTATGTTGCCTGTAGTGTGACAACATTTTATTTCTATCGATTCTAAAGTTTGTTTAAACACCTAATAGAAGTTAAACACCATATCATTAATGGAGAGGTAGTTGAGCCACCATTGTCGATGCCAAGTCGGGTGGGGGCTTTTAGATGATGAGGCTATGTTTTGTGCCTTTTATCGATTCAAAGAAAACTTACATTGGTACTGCATGAAGCATCTAGGCAAGAAAACTTCTTTTAGTAACATGCTGCTAAATCATATGGAGGGTATTGCCCGACGAGCTGGACTTTGTTAATTAAGGAGTTGGTTTTATTATTATTATTATTATTATTATTTTTGTCTTATGCTATATGTAATAGCTCGTGGCGCAATTAATCATGTTACACCCTACAGCTTACTACAAATATGTATATGCAACAAAGTTCAGCAGCTTGATTTTGAGGCTTCACTCGAACTCTGCACAAAATGGAGGGTTTTTCTCTAAGCATGATATCTTGTTGTTCGATGAATACTTCTAGGAGCATCGATTTGGACCCCTCTTATGAATGTAATTGGATCAACCCACTTGAACATAGGCTTGGTCCAATTCCAAGATATGGAATTGGTATATAGGTCAATAATTGGTTTACTTTGCCTTTTACTGTAATGCAATCAGGGAATATAACTCATGAAACTGAAGGTTTGTTGATTTGAACATATGACCGATGAAACATAATTTATGTTTATTGCAATGCAAAATAATCTTAAATAGATTGACCAGCCAACTTTTGACCCTTAACTCCGTACATAATGTTCAAATTGCTAAAGCAATAAAATATCAGTCTGCTCTGGAAATCCACTAGAACATTAAATGAAGATGCTGCACGAGTTTAATTTTGTCTTCTTGCTTCACAAATACTTTTTTTAACAGAACACTTAGATAAATGTTTGTATCTTCATTTGTTATTTTTACAGGAAGTGTTATCATGTTCTTATGGTCTTGCAGGCCTACGCAATCAGAATTTACCCACCCATTCAATGGATTGAATTGCTGAAAGAAACATATTTTAGTGCATTTTCTTTGCTATTTAAATTGTAATAATTGCAAGATGGCACTTTTATGATTGCATTTTTTACTAATGCATGCATATGAATTTATATTTCTTTAGGCTGAGTGCTTATCTTTGCATAGATTTTCCTTATAGTTTTCTTAAGTCATATTAATGCTATCCTTTAACAGATATGAGCTTTGGAAGCCATACCTTAGATCTATGATGGAGTTTGACATGAAAGAAGTTAGCACCGGTTCAAAGAGTAAATCTCAAGTTTTGGAAAATTGCTTGCAACAAATGAAAGCTTGTTTCTTAGATGTAAGAGTCTGCTGCTTGATACAATCTACGACCATGCATTTTTTATTATCTGTGCTACTTAATGAAGATGAATTGTTGGCCAGTGATATTCCCAAGGAAATGACATGCTGTTTGCTTCATGTAATAGTTGATTCAATTCGATTAATTGGTGCACTATTGTTTGCAAGTTGATCTTATGACAGTTTCATGGATTTATTTTCTGAGAGGTCATTATTGCTGACATAATAGCATCCGTCTTATTTGTGTCATCCTTATGTTGAAGGTGTGTGTATTCTTTGCTGGCATGATGGAAAGTTACAATTTATTTTTTGAAGCTTTGCTTAAATGCTGAGTTATTGAATTATTTTGAAACCCTGGTGCTTGGGTTAGTCTGTAAGGGGGTGTTTGGTTTCCGGAATTGAGCCGGATTTAGGTGATATTTAACATAAATCTAGCTAAAAAAAAGTCGTACAAATTATCTCCAAAATTTAGCCGGATTTAAGTGATATTTAACATAAATCCAGCCAAAAAAAAAAAAAAAAGAAACAAAAGGTCGTACAAATTATCTCCAAAATTTGCTAAATCCGATGTTTCTTCATGCCTTTACTGTTTTTGATGTAAATCCAAATTTATTAAATCCGATTACTATGTAGATTTAATGGATTTAGCTTAGCAAGGCAGTTACGGGAGTGGATTTGTGCCAAACATCATAAACAAATTTAATGGATTTAACCTTAAATTGAACTAAACATTATTTTGGATTTACACCATTTGGATTTGATAAATCCGGATTTATTAAATCCCATTTAACCTAAATCTTATTGGCAGCTAAACACCCCCTAAGTTTTGGGTTTTCCAGTAACTTTAACTAGGTCTTTTACCCTTTTTTTTTTTCTGAAGAAGCGTGGATCGATCAATCTTTCATCGCTTTGAGCTTTATATGGTGCTATTCTGTTTGGACTGTGAAGTTTGTAGCAAATTTTTTTAGAGGCTCCATATGCTGGTTGTTGCCATTTAGATTTTTTTTTTTCTCAAGTGGAATCTAGTTTTCTTGGTATGAAAACTTATTTAATGGCTGGTTATTGCATCACTTTTACTTCTAATTGGAAAATATAGAAGTGCAAGACTCTTAATTCTTATTTCAATTTGATAGAGAATGTACAATTTATATAGAGGGTGTATAGCCGAATTAGTGGACCAGGGAAGGGAATTGACCACCTGTGTGGTAAAAAGGAAAAATCAATGAGCACAGATATTGGTACATAAACTTATAATATTATGGTCCTATCCATGGAAATACATAACCAGGATTTAGCTTTAGCTGGTGTTGATTTCCCTCGAATTTGGTACAAGTGTTGATGTCCACAGGGTGCAAGCAATGCTCAGTTGGTTTGATCGTTGAACCTGATTAGCAACAGGAGTTGAATGCTGTGCATGTGTATGTGGTATTCTAGAATTGAATACAGAATTATAGCAACTATTAGTACCTGCATAATTGTTGTGTGCTCCCTTATTTTCTTATGTATTTGATTCCTGATTTATTTAAGCTATAACACTTTTCAATCTAGCATAGGGTGTGGACACCTTGTTTGAATAGGCCTAGAATTTTCATAACCATTTTTAGCTTCTAATTGAGGTTATCAAATTGTATTTTACTATGTATTTCAGTGTGGGTATCAGCCTTCTGAGATTTTGTAGTGGTATGGATCTCTTTGGTAATTTACTATTCAAATTTTTTTCTTTTATGAAATGCCTATCAATTTCAATGTCTGGTCATATCACGGTTGACAAGATTTTTGTTATTGCTAATTGTATCTTGGCTACTCACATCATCGTTTGCTCTTTAATATAATTTTTAGGTTTTCCAGAAGTCTTTTAATCCATATTCCATCATGAACACGATGTCTGACTCTGATATCTATTGTAGTTCTACTTTGTGCTGTAATCATTTGCTTATTATTCTAGTTGACTAAAGTTTCTCTTACAAATAAACAATAGCCAAAATGGATTTAAGATTTTAGTTACAAATCTTGCCCTAGCTGCATCAAAAAAATTTAATATTTCCATTTTGTTTTTATCCTGTAGAATGTACCTTTTGATGGTGGTCTTTTAATAAATTTTATTTGCTTGTATACAACACCAACATGTTCCTCATATGCAAGCCCTCATATATGAAATAACTACATTGATTGGAAGCAGATGTCAGGCTTAGAGTGAGATACGTAGATGAGTTTTTCTGCCAGGCATTTATACCTTTCCTTGTTAAGCTGTGTTGTACCAGGATCATTTGGGTATTGTTGATCTGCACTCTTTTGTACTGGTTTCTTTAGGTTGTCTAGAGTATTTACTGAGAGGCGGATGCACCTTAGCTCGGCCTTATAAGTTCCACTATAGGAAAATATTTTACGGCCCCAAGCTCTGTAATTTCAAATTTATTTGCTTGGATACTTTCTAATTCACTAATCTCTCCCTAATTATTATCAAGCAAGATAATATCATTGGCATAAATAATTAAGATTACAATTTTTAAATGTTTATGTTCTTTGACATACACAATGTGGTTAGCTTTTCTTTGAAAGTTGTATTGAATATTTTAAACAAAGCATGATCTTGGTGGTCGCCTATGAAGCATGAACACAAACATAGGGACATAGACATGACAACATGATATGGGGATACGACATAATTGAAAAAAAAAAAAAAGTGACACTTCAACGACATATTTTTATATTTAATTAATTGATGATACAAAATATATTTGTTTTCCATTATTCTTTATTAAAGGCATCACAAAAAGTATGCAAGAATAAATTTTAATTTAATAAATTTAACTTGTATTATGAAACCTCATATTTATAAAAATTAATTTTAAAAAATAGATATATGGCATGTTTTAAAAGAATTACTCTAACTTATCTACTTGAATTAAATATCTTATGATTAGAAATATAATATTATAAAACCTTTGATGTTAGATTTTGATGAATGTTAGAGGAAATTTTGACATGACGAGTGAGGAGGTGGCTTCAACTATGAGGTATAATTAGGGCTATACATATATCTATAATTTTCTACTTCTCGCGTCCCATTTTTCTTAAATCATGTTTTTCTCATGTTCGGTGCATGTCTAGGGGTGTTTCATATTTGTTTGGGCCTAAAAAAATTCAGACGCATATTTTGTAGTGTCGAACAAGTGTCAGGGTGTGCCTTACAAGTGTCTAGGCATGTCAGATAAGTGTCGGTGTCTGATACGTGCCCGACACAGGTACACCACTTTGTTAGAAGTGTCCGTGCTACATAGACGACTGCTTTAGAATACCTAAAGATCTCTTGAGCCTAATAACTTTATTTTTACTATTAGTATTCTTAAAACTAAGCGGGATAATTGTTTAGATTTCATCTTCAAGATCCCCATTTAGGAAGACATTATTGACACTTAGTTGATGAATTAGCCGATAAACAACAAGAGAGGGAATCCCGAATAGTGTTAAGGGTGACACTTGGTGCAAAAATTTACTAATTATCAGTCTTATATGTTTTACTCTTTTGCGACTAGTTTAGCCTTTTACTTGCCAATACTCTTATCAACTTTGTTTTTAGTGTTAAAATTCATTTGCATGGTGTTGAGAGTTTTCATGTGTCATTCTTTACCGACGCTTGTTTTCATGAACATCTTTCCATATAAGTGTTTTAAATGTTTCATAAATGTTGTTAAGGATGTCCTTGCTATGAAAAATAATTATAAAGGCATGAAACTAAGGGGACAAATTATTGTAGGAAATATACTCACTTGTTTGGTCTTCTATGCTAGTTTTTGTACCTTTCTTGCAAGAAATTGGTGTGAAGATCAGAATCAATGTTACTTTCTGAGGAATTGCCAGGGCTTGGGTCAAAAACTTGCTAATCTCATGTGAATTGCTTTGATTTCTCTTAGTATTTGACTATTTCTATTGTTTGAAATAGATTATTCCTTTATATTTCTCTTAGTATTTGACTACTACGATTGAGGAGATTTATTCCACTCTCCTTGAGATTAACTGTAATAAGACCCCGGGGCCTGATGGCTTTACTTCTGCTTTCTATATTACTTGTTGGAATATTATTAAGGATCATGTTGTGGCGGTCATACAAAGTTTTTTTAAAAGGGAAATGCCTGGAAATTATTTTTCGGCTGCAACTATTGTCCTTATTCCTAAGAACAATCAAAAGAGTTCTTGGGATCATTTTAGGCCTATTTACCTCACCTCTGTGATTTCTAAGTTGATTTGTAAGATTTTGGTCAAACGCCTTCAACCTCATCTTCACAAGTTAATCTCTTTGAATCAGTCTGTTTTTATTCAGGGGAGGGGGATTACTGATAATATTATGCTGGCTCAGGAACTCACTCCTGACCTTGATAAAAAGTGTAGAGGTGGCAACGTGATTACTAAACTGGATATTCAGAAGGCCTATGATTCGGTTAGTTGGGATTTTATATTGAAGATTCTCCATGCTCGTGGCTTCTCTCAAGAGTTCTGCAATATTATAAAATCCTGGCTTAATTGTAATAAGTATAGCATTCTCATCAGTGGCAATTCTCGGGGTTTTTTTCAGTGCGGGCCGTGGGATTAAGCAGGGAGATCCTTTATCCCCCACTATTTTCATTTTTAATTTTTCTCTCCCGTCTTCTTAACAATATTTTTAGGAGAAACTCCAAACTGCATTATTTTCACAAATCTAGTATGTTGGTGTCTCACTTGGCATATGCTGATGATATGATCCTCTTTTTTAATGCAAGCAAGAATTCAGTGAAGGTGATTCATAATGCCATGATTGATTTTCAACTTATCTCGGGCCTTTCATTCAATGCTAGTAAATGTAATATTTTTTTGGGGAAAACGATAAATCGCTCTAATGCCTCTTGGATTGCTAACTATACGGGTTTCTCTCCCTCTAATCTCTCACTCAAATATCTGGGGGTTTTCATCCTCAAAGGCAAAAAGAGACGTATTCAATTTGACGAGGTTGTGGAGAAGATCCGA